GGGAGCTCGGACCTTTGACAAGGAGCTCGCTCTTAATCAGGGAGCTCGGGCTCCTAGTAGGGAGCTCGGGTTCTTAGGGAGCTCGGGCTCCTAGTACCGAGCTCGGACTTAGGGAGCTCGGGTTTTAGGGAGCTCGGACCTTTGACAGGGAGCTCGCTCTTAACAAGGAGCTCGGGCTCCTAGTACCGAGCTCGGACTTAGGGAGCTCGGGTTTTAGGGAGCTCGGACCTTTGACAGGGAGCTCACTCTTAACAAGGAGCTCAGACTAAGTACAGCGGTCTGGAGTTCGGGCTCGGTAGTGAGTTTGGGCTTGCTTCCGATGTTCGCTTTGGGTGCTCTACTGTCCCGAACTGCTTACCTTTGCCACGTGTCGGGCGATCACGAGGTCGGGCCAAATTTCCCTTCATCAGATTCCATCAAAGATCAGGCATTTGGATGTAGTTCCTGACCTCATGCAACACATGACGGAACAGCGGATCGTGTCACCTTTCCTTTTTCTTTTTTTTTAATTTCTTCTTTCTACAGTCTAAAATTCTCTTTCTTTACTCTCCACTTGCTGGGTTTTCCATTTTGAAGAGATTTTTATCACCCCACAAATGATATTTCATGTGGGAGGAAGAATAATTTGGCAATGTGGGTTTTGGGGAGGTGGGTCTGAGCACTAAAACGCAAAGTATCAGTTCTCAAGGCCCCCCCACAGAAAAAATAAAAAGACGATTGTCATTCACATTCACCCGATCGAATGGTTTTTGCCTGGGACTAGGACTGATACTTTCACTGCATTGCCCTTGGGAAGCTCTTATAAACACGAGTATTTGAGTGAGTAAATAGGGGGTGAGAGCATGTCTACTTTTGTCTTTTTGGGATTAAAAAAGGGCTCTCGTAGAATGCCAGAAGGCCCCTCAACCTCTCTGCATTCTTTGTAAGTAAAGTCTGCACGACTTGTTACATCAGAATTGTTAACATCTGAAAGTTTTACACCATTCAAAGGAATAAAGTAATAAAAAAAAAATTGAATGAATGGTCGTGATCATTCCATTGCATTGATTTTTGGCGTAGTGGATCACTTTGATGGGATTCATAAACTTGGGTGTCCTGATCCCTGGTGTTGACGCATTTGTACATATTTGTGCATGATAAGAACATTCCTACTTCCTAGCACTTTGGCAATTCAAATGTTATTGTCGAATTTTCTTCATCAAACAGAACCTTATGAAAAATACACTTACTGTCAGACCAGAGATGAAATTTCTTGCCACTTTTCGTCCAACCACACGAGGAAAAAGAAAAAAGCGAAAAATGGTTGAGTGGTACCACGGAGAGAGAGAGAGAGAGAGAGAGAGCTGGAAAGAGACATGAGTGGGCGGGTGAGGGAGAGTAAAATCATTTAAAACATTGACTAGTAAATAAAGAAGGAATAACAGTATAAAAATCTGACTTCCTTAGGTGTAGTACCACTGAAAAAGCAAAAACTAGCCTTACCATATCCTTGTTTTCTTTCTTCTATTCTTTTAACCAATCTTCTCTTCTGAACATTCATTTATGGGCTGTTGGATTTTGTAAGAAAGAATTTTTTTTTGGGAAAGAAAAAATAAAAAGAATAGAGATGGAAAGAAAAGTGTGGGGTGGAAGGGTGAAAGAGAGGTGAGAAGTACTTAGTAAGAAGAGTCACTGCTCCTATTTTTGTCATCTAAGAAGTAGACAGAGGCAATAATAGCTGGATTTTGTTTCTTCGGTTAGAAGCAGGGCCCCCTCCCATTCCATCCAATGACCTCCTTCACTGATGCTTCTGTACTACCCATTATTATTATTCTTTAATGCTTAGTACACGTACTAATCTCATCTCCCACTCCCAAACTTCCAATAAGTTAGAATTTGTTCTGTTTGAATTTTAGTAGTAGTAGTTTTTCTGTTTTTGTCATCAATCTATCTGGTATTACTATTGCATGACATATATATATATATATATATAAGCTAGTATATATACACGATTGAAGGGTAAAGAGGAAGATGTAATAAGCACCCTCTCCCTCCTCCAAAAGAAGATGAAGATATAGCAAATATAATATAGAATCTGGTGATCAAGATAAGGAGATTCATGAGAAAGTTATAGTGGGAGAATGCTTTTGCATGATGATCAATAGATTATACAACTTGTACAGGGAAGGTGAGAGAGAGAGAGAGAGAGAGAGAGCTGCATGTAAATGTATAGTAACGTATATAAAGATGATCAAAAGAGGAATAATTAAGAGATAAAAGTTGTGAAAAATGCATGTGTGAAAGGTTAAGTGTAAGCTGCTCTTGACAGAGTCGATGATGAAGGTGGTATTCTAATTTTCCTTGCTATATAGGTACTTACTGTTGTGACTCAAATAGAAGGGAACAACAGGAAAAGGTAGGTGGATCCTCTTTCCAGGCCATAAAAACAACCGACAGCTTAGACTTTTTCTTTTCCTTTCTCATTTTTTATTTTTTTTCCCATCTTTATTCAATGCAAAGGTAGGGAAGTTGTAGGCGAATTTCTTTTTCTATCTCCTTATTTAAATGTATATGTATATATACGGTAACATCGAGGAAAAGCAAAAACTAATTAAACAAAAGTGAAAAACAAAAAAGAAGAAGAAGAAGAAGAAGTACGTCTTAATTATCTATAACACATCTCGAATTACAATCAATAATTTTCATACCAGCTCTTTAAATTAATAAGAGGAAAAAAAAAGAAGAAACGGGAAATTAATAATTAAGAGGAGAGTTCAGAGTTGTGATTTAATTTGAAGTAAGTGCAGTAGATTCTGTGGTTATGAGAGGGTCTGTTTCTTGTGAGGCTGATGATGACTTGACAAACCCATCATTAATGCACGAAATCTCCTCCAAATTATACACGTTTGTAGTTGTAGGTTGTTCCTTGGTAAAAGATGAAGAAGTTAATGTTAGTTGCCTAGCTCTCTCCACTTGGAGCATCCAATCGGTGGTGGCTAGGACGTACAACATAAGCGTTGCACATGTTGCCTGTGCAGCAAGCAGGCCTATCCACAAACCTGGAAAGCCCAATTTGGCCACAAAGCCCATAAAGATGGCAACAGGCATACCAACCAAGTAGAAAGAACCCAAATTGATGTTGGCGCCGGTGGTTGGCCTTGCGCTCCCTCGTAACACCCCGCAACCAGTCGTCTGCGGGCAATTGCCAAGCTCACACAGCCCTACAATGGGTAATGCAACTGAGGTGATGTTCAGAATCTCGGCGTCGCCGGTGAAGAACTGACCCCACCGATGTCTCATCAACGTAGTGAACAGCATGGCTGCAAGACCTAGAGCTGCTGCACAAGCCAGTGACACGATCATAGCGCTGCGGGCCTTAGCCGGTCGGTTCGCGCCTAGCTCATTCCCCACCCTTGTGGAGACCCCAAGGCTTAGAGATGATGGAAACACATAAACTAATGAAGTTGTTTGGATAAGGATCCCCATGGAAGCAATGGTCGCTTTCGGATTAACAAGTAGGCCACATAGCATTATCATGAGCTCATACCACCACCACTCAAGGCACACTGAGATGCAGGTTGGCACGGCCAGCCCCAGCAGAGAAGACCACCCTCGCAGGCAGTCCATGCTCGGCGCTATCCATGAGTCTTTGTACACACCGGAGAACAACACAAAGGCCGATAAGAGCAGGACAAGATTGAGGTTAGTCCACACCATGGCTATGGCCACCCCGGCAATACCCATCTTCAGATGCACCACTAGCAGGAAATTTAACGGGACGTGGATAATCACAGAGATTGCAGAACAGCACGTCAATGGCAACGTAATGCTTTGGGTTCTCAGGTAGATTCGGAGTGGGTGGAGGAGGGAGAGGAAGAAGAGGTCTGGAATGGAGAACAATATGAAGACATGGGCCACAGTTGAGACTTCTTGGTCTTGACCGCACCACAGCAGGATCCTCTTCATGTTGAGCCACATAAGAGAAATGGGGATGGAGGCGGCCAGGAGTAGTAAGACCGTTCTTTGTAGAGTCAAGCCCAGGAGTTTCCATTGCTTGGCGCCGTATGCTTGGCCACAAATGGGATCCATTCCCATGGCCAAGCCGGAGATGACAGAGTAACCGGTGATGTTAGCAAACCCAATTGAAAGAGACCCTCCTGCGAGCTCGAGCTGTCCGAGGTGTCCAAGAAAAAGCATGGAGATCATAGCCCTTGAATACATGAGCAGACCTGTAAGAGCTGTCGGTCCTGATATTTTCCCTATAGCTTTGATTTCCTCCACAGCCTGAACATTATGCAAGCAAGCAAACAAAGCAAGCAGAGACAAAGCAAATTTGAGTGCTTGTTCAAAGATTATAACATTGTTCCGTAAGTACTGTATATATACACTATTTACTATTCACACAAATCACTACTGGTATACCCTTATGGAAATGCTTCTTCTAAGTAACTAGTATTATTACCTCTGAGGGAGTTGGCCATCTATGGAGTTCTTCATCATTGTTAAGATCATTCATGGTTTTGTTGGGATTTGCGAAATGGGTTTTCATTGGAGAGAGGAATGAGGAGGGAGAGGAGGGATTTGGGTTACACATGGCTACCCTCTCAGTGGAGATGACTTTTTAAGATTTTAATGAGTCTGGATCAACTCCTGTTAAGTTTTTTGTCTTTGAACCATTGAGGCCTTGCTTCCATGGCTAGGTTATATATACATATGGAGAGGTCGAATCGTTGATAGAGTAAACTTGTTTTAAAAATCAGAAATTCCCAAAAAAAAAAAAAAAAAAAAAAGAGCGGATATTGGAGTACTGGGTGTTTGGGACTAGGACTAGGACTCCTCCGAGAGTGCTTCTTACACCAGTTACCAGTTTGTTGCGTGGTGTGTGTTGTGGTGGGGGTTGAGGTGCCTAGGCGGGCCAATCCCCCTTCATTCAGGGAGGAAGGTGCTGTAATCTTTATCTTAAGAAGAGATATCTCATGTGTTAACTACTTTTTGATCAAGGCACGTGCCCATGATAAGGCGTTTGGGGTCCAGATATATGCGAAAGAGAGGCCCCACGTCAGGAGTCAGGACTCATTTGGGACTTTGGATGGATGGATGGATGAGGTTTCAGTTCACAAATGGAGTAATGTAATTGCATGTTACTAATGGGCTAAATAGTTCTGATGATGCAGTTATCTTACTCACTGTTTGAGATTTTTTCTGCCTCTCGATCCATATCCTACTCAACCTGCACAGCATTAATGTCCGACTTACTCTTCTTTGAATCCAAAGGCTGTTCTCGTGTCCAATAAACCCCAAGGTTCTTTTGCTTTAACAATTTCCTGACCCTCTTTTTTCAACTCAACTCTTGCCACGTGGACTTGGATAAATGGGTTGAGACTTGAGAGCAATTCTATATATTTTTTACCCGGCCTCTTGTGAAAGGAAAGGAAACGACACTCCAATATTTGTCGTTGTGTGCTGACACGGACACAAACACGTGCGCAGGGAAGATGCTATTATGTATCTGGAAGCAACCATGCATGTGCCTCTTACAACTTACAAGTTGAATCAAACCCCCCATTTCTATGCATTGTCCATCTCCGTCAGGGTCAGGTATCTCCGGATCTGGACATCCGTAAACGATCTCATAATACACACAGTGGCCTGCAGCCTCTGCAGTGCACCCTCATACATATCATCGACTTTGCCTCCTGCTTATTAACATTGTTAATTAATTCCCTAGCTGAGCTGCCTCTGCCTCCACCCTCGCTTAATTTTATCCAAACCGTGCGAATAGGTTGCATCTCTATATATGTCCTCTTGAGTAGGACTGTAGGAGTGGATGGACTAAAAAATCTATGCGCCATCAAAAAGGCTTTTTCTTTCTCAGTAAAACATGAGAGAGGAAATAAGGAAATAAAATTTGATTGTCCAGATCTATTCTAGTCTGATAATACCCAAAATGGCTTGCACCCTTTTGGAAGCCATTAATTTTATTTTGGGGTCTCCAGTCTGCAGAGTAATTGCATTTGTTGGCTTTACATTGAGGGAGTTCTTCTCTGTCACTCTGCTGCTGTGTGTGGATGCTTTTAGAGAGTTGTAAATCAAAATCTAGCAATCCAACCCATTGTTTTGTGTTGGGATGAAGGTATTCAAGGACATATTTTTTCACAAATAATTCATTTCCCCCCATCAGAATTTTAATTCTCAGGATATTTCATTGGAGATCCAACGCAGTCTTCCTTCGGCTATAAAATCCAATCTACAACTTATTAGTGGTTTGTTTTCTTTGTTTTTACATTACATCCTATCTATCCCGACTTCTCAAACGCTTCTTCCCACCAATAATGGGGTTATGCTGCTGGTCTTTAGGAATCTAAGACCTTATCATTCTGATATGAAACCAGGAACCCCACCCTTTGTTTTCCTTTCGGTGGTTAAGTTAGGGCTGAACCCATGAACGAATGATCTGGAATATTGGCAGGGTCTCAAGTGACTTATAAGTGTCAAATCTGGCAGTTGTTGTAAGCTATAATAATTCATATTATTATAGCCATGATTTCTATTATTGTCATTACAGTCAATATTTTGAGCTTTATCTTTGTGGGGTGTTTGGAGGGGGGTTGTTGCGTCACGGATGGGCCACCATATTGAGTGGGTTGTGTTGATAACAGCCGGCAGATGGAAGAAGGGAGACATTGAAAGACAATACGTGCTCCAGTTAAAGCCATTTTATTGTATCCCTTTCCTCACAACAGGGTTGAGAGTGCCTCTGCAGTAGGAATTTGGCTGTGACTGGAGCAACAGAAGCCCCACCACCCTAACAAGTTTCTTTCTTAAAGACCGGGAAAATCCAAGGGATGGGTTTCTATTTGTTACCTTGAACCAGAAATTATTTCCCTTAAATTCATGCTCCAATGTCAGACTCCATGTGTGTCCAGCTCAATAGGATGCTGTAGATGAAAGCTCTGCGTTATCCAACTATGGAAATAGGAAAAAGAAAAAAAGATAAATTAATGTGTCTTCATGAATCCTTTTTTGGGGTATAGCAAGCAAATGGAAGATTCCATCTTAACGATATCTGTCTTTTTTTTTGGCAACAAAAGCACTATTGGCAATATCATCACCAATATACAGTCAAAATTACTGAACCCTCTTTTAACTTGTCTCACAAGGAAATGAAAAGGTTAGAAATCGGGGCTGGGTCGCTGGGACTCACCATTTGCTGTCTAGCTCAGAACCAGATTGTTCTGGTAACAATAGACAAATTCCAGGATCGGGGGTCGTGCACTTGTACCTTCAGCTTGATGCTGAACTCTGAATTGGATAATTTATCCTTGGTAGTAAAATAACGTGAACGAGAAAAAGATTGAAGATCATGTTTTTTTTTTTTTTACTAGTGCCCCCTAAATCGAAATCAATCTTGAATAACAGGCAGAAAGAAAGCACCACGAAAGTCTAAAGAGAGACATTTTCGAGGATTTTCTCTCGTCCTTTTTTCCTCCAGCTTGTTTGTGGGCGGACGAGAAAAAGATCTTCCTTTATTTCTTTTTGGCCATATAAAAGCCACAGATTTACCAACTAGCCAGTAAGAAAAAAGTTGAATGAGGAAAGTGATTACGAGATGATTGATGATGATGCATGATGCATGGGTTGAAAACTAATGGATATGACAAATACATTATTTCCTGTTGTTTAGTTATCTCATTATATAAATTCGAAGGTAATGTTCATGTGGTTGCTGAGTAACCGAGTTTTTATTTATTTTTTAACTGTTTTGTATTTCCTTTTTTTTAAACATTAATAAATATTTAATAGTTCAAACTGCGCCTTAATTACACCGGTAGTAACCAATGCGTGGGAGTCCTGAAGACAAGTTAGGCACCGATACATACAAGATGAGTGCAATGAACGGAGGAATTTATTCTAAAGTTTGTGATGCAAGAAACAAAAGACAGAACAATAATAAAGAGCCGTCCCATTGAAATCACTAAAGCTTTCATGAACTAGAGCATACAGAGATGTCCCCATCAAGGTTTCAATCAGCATAATTTCACATACCATCTGTTGGCCACCAATCACAATTGACATAACTCTCAGTACATGCACGTTAGGCTGTGGGATTCCGCATATTATGACTGAACGATGAAGGGAAGAAATCTTCTCAAGGAATAAACCCAATCACCAGCAAGTTATCTTGTTGGAATGGAAGTCGTCAATAAGAGTGATCCCCTAATCCTCAACAAGATGTGCACTGTCTACGTTTCCCGGTGATTAGCCATAAAGTAGTGTTTACAGGTGATGAGAATCTTTCACATTCAAGAGATTCCCTAATGTGTGGGAGGTAACTTGCTTCAGAAAGCATTCAATGATAGCCATTGCATTATAAACTTTGGTTCCTTTGATGTGTATAAATGGAATTGTTCACTGTGTACCCTGTTCTTAATCCCTTACTCTGGCATTAAATATGCGCTCATCATTTGTCAGTACAAGGTGCAGGCAATGAGCATATATAAACCACTTCTTGTAAGTACTTTGAATAATCCCTTGGAAGAGTCCTTACTGGAAAGAGCGTAACCCTCTCTCTCTCTCTAGGGTAAACTGGCACAAAACCTTGGTTCTCAATTTGCAAATTAGAGAATCTTCCAAATGAGCAACAGCTCCGTCCTGGCTCAATTAACCACATGGTGAAAACTTTAGCCGGGTCCTTGGTGGTTTGAATGGAGAAGAAACTGCTAGAAAAGAGTGACTGGTTTTGTTGATGACAATAATTATATACAAAATTTCTTTAATAAATTACAAATTCCCAGTTTCCATGTAACATACTCCTGTGATAATGAATAGATCTATTGAAACAAATAAAAATAAAAAAAAAGAACATTTTAATACCTCACAGGACCTAGGCTTCGGTGTGTGAGGTCAAAAGGAGCCCAATATGGCTACAGCTCTGCTGGAAAAAGCTGCAACTGCTACCCACAGACAAGGAGGGTGAGTTCCCACCACCAAAGAGACGATCCCTCAACCCACTTCCCAAGGATACCACCACCTGATCTCAAATGCCAAGCGCCATCACCTTAGCATCTTAATACTAGAGTAAGAACCGGTGTTGTCAATCGAATAACAAACCCAAGAAAAGACATTTTAATACATTATACAAGGGGCCTAGGCTTCGGTGTATAAGTTCGAGAGAGAGCCAATATGGCTACAAGTCCACTGGTAAAGGCTGCAACTGCTCCCACAGCAAAGGATGGTGAGTTCCCACCACCAAATAGTTGATCCCATGGTCCACTTCCCAAGGATACAAGTACCTGGTATCAAATTCCAAAATCATCATCTTAGCACCTTGAAATTAAAGGCAAAACCAACTTTCTTAATTGAACAAAACAGTAATAAAAGATAAACTTTGTTACCCAATAGGAAGAAAATAATAAAAAAATTCCATTATGAATGTCTCAGAACACGTTAGACAGGATTTGGTCATAGTTCTAGGGTAGCAAAGCCCTAGACTAGCCAAACATAGATCCAAATCAAAACTTTGGACTGACTATAAGAGTTCAATTCTTCTGTCGTAACTTGCTAAATACAGATTTTTAAGGCATTGATGACTAGTAATTGGTTGGGATCAAACTAATGATCGTTACAAACAAAAAAGATACATGTTTCGTGTGTTTTTGTACAAGCAACGGATATTGCAATAATATCATTAATAGCAAGACAAGACATACAAAAGAACAGGAAGCAAAGGAGGAATTCCAATACACCTTCAAATATATCAACAGCACACAATTACAAGGATCCTCAGAACCCAAAACACCCCTGTAAAACATGGATCAGACCTGTTACAGAGAGAAGAAAGGTAGAGATGACGAGGGAGAAAAGAGCTTTGAATGACAGGGAAATCTAATTGTGTGGGCTGGTGGCACCCACTTCTTTTAGTAAAAAATAGGGTGACATAAAACAAGAAAAAAAAGACACAAATACCCCCTCAGCCTACATGTAATAATATTTTAACACTCTCCCTCAAGTTGGATTATAGATGTTAATCAATCCCAATTTGTTACACAACTCATTATGGTGTAGGGCATTCACATTGGTAAGAAGGCTAATTGATCTTTAGAATTTACAGGAGTATATACTTCCCCCTTTTCAACCTTCTCCCTTATAAAATGCTTGTCCACTTAAATGTGCTTTGTCCTATCATGTAGGACAGGGTTTGCAGCTATATTTATAGCTGCCTTGTTGTCACAATAAAGAGACATTGGACCATCAACACTAAATCCCAATTCTCCTAACAAACTCTTAATCCATAACACCTCAGTAACACAATAATCCGTATCACGATACTCAACTTCAGCGTTAGATCTGGTCACCACAGATGGTTTCTTGCTCTTCCATGTCACCAAGTTACCCACAACGAAGGTATAATATCCCAAGGTATACCTACAGTCATTTGTGGAGCCAGCCTCGTCAACATCAGTATATACTTCAACTCTCATGTGACTGCTTAGAGAAAAAGTACTTCCTAGATGTTTCTTTAAGTACCTAAGAACCCTTTCTTAAGCCATGAGATAAGTCCTTTTTAGGGTGTATATGTTAACTTAGAACACGTAAAGCATAGACAATATTGGGCCTGGTCATGGACAAGTACAACAACCTTCCATCCAACCTTTGGTCATCCATCATCCATACCTTATCCCAAGTATATGGAGTTGGTTACATGAATCCTGTTTCACCAATTTGTTCTATTTAAAGCCATATCCACTATTCAATTATTAGTGCTTAAATCATTTCTTACTACTACTCATGTCCTTTTTCGTCTACCTGAGCTCTTCTATCCCCTTTAATGTGTAACAAATTAACTGACCTTTGGTACTGCTTAATATCTGAACCCTCCCCCCTCACTGTCTCCCAATTTATGGTTTTTCAATGGGAGTGTTAGCTGACCTAACTTCCAACTTGCCAGTCTTGTACCAGATCATTCACATCAAACTGAGAAGAGAATATTTTATTATATTTTCTTATAGATGAGATTAATACATCTAGATGACAGGACAGTCATTCCCAAAAACCGAATTACATTTACATAGAAGCCCAAAACAATTGCTGTCTCATAACTTTTCAATCCTTACCCACTTGAATTCAACACTTATTTCCTTTGTGATACTTTCCACTACCCTAAAAGCATGTCTAAGCATCCATGAGGTATGTCTATTACAATTTGCCCAAGAGATAATTAGTTTTGAATCCCCTTCCACCTTGACTTGTTTATAGCCCAATTGTTTTGCTAATCAAAGACCTTGCAACGAAGCCATCAATTCAGCTTTCAAGGAGTTTTCCGTTCCAATTGGCCCTGAAAATAAAGCCATTATCCTACCTTGAGAGTTTCTAATGACACCTCCTATTGTTGCCCTACCCAGATTTCCAAAGGAGCTTTCATCAAAGTTCAGTTTTAGTTTGTTGCCTTTTGGAGGCTTCCAATCAAACCTTATTTTGTTTTGTTCTCTAAAGGATTGTGCTATCATGGTCTAGGCGCTTAAAATGTCATTGACAAAGAACATCTGAAAGCTGTCCAATATTTTCTCAATATGCAAGCTTTATTTTTATGCTTTCTACTATCTCCTCAAGAGTTTTTTTTTTTTATCAATAACACAATTCATTAATTATCACAATAGATTACAAAGAAGAAGCCAAATTTCTTATCTTCCAACTACATCATGAGCCCCAAGAGAGAGAGAAAACAGAAAAAGAAGAAAATTAAATTACATCTGTGCCCAGAACATGACATCCCTATCCACCCCTTGTTTAGCTAACCCATCAGCAAAAGAATTAGCTGATCTTTTTACCCAACTGATTTTAACTTCCATTTCTCGAATCAGCCATCTGAATTTCCTCTTCAAATTACTATAACTCCATAAACCACTATCTTCTTTGTTCAGCCACCCAACCACCACCTCCGAGTCCCCTTCAATTATGAGTTTTCTGATATTCATCTCCCTAGCTTTCTGGACACCTTCCATAACTGCATGGATCTCAGCTCTGAGAGAGTCACACACTCCAATTCTCATCCCTGAAGACACCCCCAATCCCTAATTGTTCAGGGTTCCCTTTGCTACTTCCATCAAAGTTTAGTTTTATGAAACCTGCAGGTGGGGGAGTCCAAGACACATGGGTACAGTTAGCAATCTCACCCCACTTCCTCAGCATGTCATCCACTATATATTTTGTGAATAGCTCTAGGGACTTCATCCACTGAATAACCCTTATGTGGATCAGGGCTCTCAGCTCTTCAGCACCTCGCTCTACATCAGAGAAGATTCTGGAGTTTCTTTCTTCCCATAAAGACAGCATACTGCTGCCCTCAGTCCTCTCCACATAGTCCTTCCCCTTTCCATACACCACCTGAAAAAAGGAGCAAATAGGCCTTGCAAATTTGATGGAGGAATCCAAGTACACCCAAAAAGAGAGAAAGCCCACTCTCAAATAGACTTTGCAAATTGGCAAGACACCAGAAGATGAAAACCGGTCTTCCCATTAGCTTTACAAAGAACACGCCAATGAGGGGACAAACAAGTATTGGGTTTCTTCTTTTGGAGCAGATCACTAGTGTTGATTCTTTCCAGAAAGGCTTCCCAACAGATGTAAATCAGTCCTCAATTATTAGGTGTAAATTTGAAGATTAGAAGAAAAAGAAGAGAAGTAAGAGCAGCAGCACAAGAGAAGAAGATGGCGAAAAGAGAAGGAAGAAGAAGAAGATTCGAATATCTTCCATTTCTCCTCTAATCCTTTTTTTTTTATTAAGCATTAATGTTGGAGTAATGACAAGTATGCCCTTAGATGTGAATCAGTCCTTTAATATCAAGATTAAACTTAGTGATTAGCAGAATAAAACAGGTCTGAATAACTGTACAAGAGAAGAAGATGGCGAAAAGAAGAGGTAAGAGAAGGAGTCGAATAATCCTCCATTCTCCTCTAACCCTATTTTATTAAGATCTAAAAATTTGATGATGACAAGAATGCCCTTAAGTGGGCGGCCAGCTTGGCAGTTACATAAAGAAAATAAAACAAGAATAAATAACAGGCCCATTAAGTGTGGCCGTCAACATAAAATAAA